CATGACGGGTGTGTGCAACTGCTTTCCCAGCACGACTTCAAAGTCTCCGTGACATCTGCGGAAATCTTGGGACAAGGATCCACCTTTGCTGCCTTCTTGCCCCTCTTGGAGGAAGGCTTCTTGGTCGAAGGCTTCTTGGTGTTGGTGGAAGGCTTTTTCTGGGAACCTTTCTTACAGTTCTTCAGCCCTGTGCCCTTCTTTGTGCCCTTCTTTGGCACCTTTCCTTTAAAAGCCTTGGTGGATCCATCAGATTCCCGCTCCTTGCGAGTTCTCTTCTTTCCCTTCGCCTGGCATGGTTCTTTCTTCGGGGACGGTGTTGCTGCTTGCATAGTTCGCAACTTGGTCAGGCCGATGCACTTGACATGTTTTCTTACCTTCCCCATTTGTCTGGTCTCCACCACTGGACTTTCATTCCTAGGACAGTCGTATTCGTCCAGCTCTTCTGACACTTGCCCCTGCTCCTTCTCAGCTTCCTTCTCAACCTCCTCCTCCTTATTATCCACCTTCGGCTCATCAGCAAAAGCCTTGGCTTGCTTTCGCTTCCGGCTGCTCTTTTCCGTCTTGGTCTTCTGTTCTGAGTCTGCCTTCTTTTGCTTCTTTGCATCTTTCTTGGCTTCTGCTTCCTGTTTCTTCAGATCACGTGCTTTCTTTTTTTCCTCCTTTGCTTTTTCTTTCTCAATCTTTTCCTGTTGCTTCTTTTCCTTCTTCTTCTGCTTTGCTTCCTTCTTGTTCTTCTTCATTCTAAATTGCATCCTGCGTGTGATCACATCATCACTCCCTGGTTGGCCCAAGAGACCTGCAACCTCGGAAGAAGCAGCACCTGCCTAGCAGGATGGAGTTGGAACAAAGGAAAGCCCATCGACAAGCTTTATATGCACTTTTTAAAGCTTGGCATGCATGAACACTATAGTGCCTGATTCAGGGTGCGGTGGGTATGCACAATAGCTAAGTTGGAATCAAATTCATTGTATTCCTGGTGTGAAACTCAAATTGTATGTGTCATCCCTCATGAGCGAAAACTCCCAGTTGTTTTGGCCCCTCGCCTCAGTTGCTGCGTGAGTTTCATGGACCAAAAGCTTTGCAAGGGTCTGGTGAGCAACATCACTGTTGATCAAGGACCCAGGGCTGCATGGCAGCTGTGTTTGGTCTGCGTCATGTCCAAAGGGCAGGGACTCCAACACCATTTGGGCACCTATAGAGGGCGGATGTTTCTCATCAGGAAGCAACACAGAAAGAACAAATACCATTTGATTTGATTATTCTTCACAATGAATGTCATTTGGCCGAATGAGGATGGAACAATTAAGCAGCATGTGACTCATATACATGTCCTTCCACACATATACACTCTTGTCTTTCACTCCATCCTGCCTTGACCCTTGATGTCAGGCTGCTCAGAGACAGCCAAAGGAGGACTGCTGGCTGCCGGTGTCGATGGTGGCGGTTCTAGAGAATCACAGGGTGCACATGATGGAACCCCCTGACTGGGAGGTGCAGGTGCTTGCCCTGAAGTCCCATCCAGTGCATTGTCCTCTTTCCTTATAGATGTGATGTGGGCGCAGACTAAAGCCACCAAGGATGATGTCAAAGGAAGACCCACTTATTCAATTAGCAAATCCCAACTACTGTAATTTGCCATCACAACTGCAGTTCACAAACGCTACCAACAAAAACTTGTATATATGGACTAAAAGCCCCAACAAACAACCAGCTGTTTTATATATATGTATATACAAACAACAATTCAAAAGGTCGGTTTGCAAATGCCGATGCCCAGGGTCAGCTGAAGCGCCAGCAAAGCAGAAATTAGACAGTGAGGGTCGAAGGTGGTTGATCCATGTCCTTCTTCATCAACTTCCTCATCCGAAGAAACGCAGCAAATCTCATTCGCATCATCCTGATGAGGCAAAGCGGTTGCAGCAGGCAACAAGGGTTGCCTTCACAGTTGTTTTGCACAGCAAAGGTTTCAAAGGTTCTTTTTCTATGGCCAATGTAAACTGCGCATACTTGTTTCATGGAAAGACCACTGAATGGCTAGCACATTTTGTCGTATCAACAAAAAAGAGCATGCAAAGACAGCTCTTACCAGCCGTGCCCTATATATTTACATACATGGCTCGACCTGAGTTACCAGCATGGAAGGAAGACTTCAGATACCATATTCACTTCATCATTCATCCAATCCCAAAATGAAACCCCAAAACACATCGGTGCCTCCAACGGTGCAACAGTTTCAGCTGCTTCGAAAGCAATTGGATCATCCATACATGGGACTGAGTCATTCTTTTTGATGACCTCGTCCAACTCACAAGCCACCTCAGCCACAAATTCCTCAGTCACCTCCAGGACTTGAGAGTGAGGTGGTAGCGCAGGGCCTCCTAGAATTGCACCTAGGAGCACCTCTGGTTCTGGTGGGCACGAATCTTGCAGTGGGCATGAATCTTGCGATTCAACAACCTGTGCCGATGTTGAAGACAGGTTCTTGTCCTTCTTCTTGATTGGCACCCAGTTCTGCGCAGCAAGAGTGATGGCTGTTTAAGGGTGGTGGATTTCTTTCCTGATATAATTGTATATAAACAATCAGGGTTGCCTGCCACAACGAAGGGATCCCACTTGAATCCATAAACCATTTGCACAATAAATCAATCCAGGACTATATATATATATATACATGCAACTCTGAGAAGGTCAAGGGTGCTTGGAAAGCCAAAGCTTAACAGGTCAAGCTTCCCTTGAAATGGCATTTGTTAAATGACCAAAGCTTTGCCTTTTCTGCGTGACATGTTTCACAAAAGGGATTTCTCCAATCAACGTCACTCCGGGCCCCAACCATGCAGGGCCTCCAAATCGAAGCCCATTGCACTCATCAGGCCTCGAATCTGCTCATCCTGAGCAACGGGGCATTCAAGGACAGCTGGGGCTGGTGAAACTATCAGTTGTAGAGATGTTGTAGATGCCCGCATCGGACTATTGACACTTTATGGAGGCTGAGAACTATTTGGGATCCATGTCCTTTTATGGCCCTGTGCAATCATGTCTCATGAATCTAGCCAAAGCTTTATATATACAGTTCACATTGCTTCCCACCAAAAAGGGCAGTGAACAAGAAAGATCAAAGAACAACAATATGATAGCCAGCTTGGAGTCCTCAGGAGGATGATCCCGATAGCAAAAAGATTTCCCTGTTCCCAGAAGCCGTCTAAATGCCCAGCCCATGGCGTAGCAATGCTCATAGTTCCTGGGTTTCTTGGCAACCTTGTATGCATTGTGCACTGACTGGATCAGTGAGTCAATGTTGGGCATGAGAAGCGAGTTCTTTGACATGAGATCCGCCAATGGCAGCAATGCAGGAAGATTCAACTTGACATTGTCTACCGTCCCCTCCACATAAGCGGCCTGCTCCTGACCACACTTTGGATCCAAGTGGAGAAGCAAAGGCTTGTCTTCTCGAAGCCTTTCACGGATGAAATCATCGTCGTCCCAAGCCTTTGGCAAGTGGGACATATCGTATTTCCCCACACGCTCAGGGGTGCTCGGAGTAGAAGGTGGGGCTGGGGTAGAGGTCCCTGAAGATGAAGCCGAACCGCTTGCACTTGGCCTAGCTTTGGTCTTGGCCGCCGAGGTTCTCCCCATGATTCCCTGATCCACCAATTGTAGGGCACTTTCCCAAAAGCAATCCGTCTCAGCCCAAATGGGTGCTGCGCAGGATCATGCAAGTTCTGATCGAAGATTGTTGGATGAAGTGCATGTCTTTGAAATGATTACAACTGTTGATACATATATAGACCAAGTGGTGAACATTTGGACCAAATCTAGTCATATACTGCATCCTATGTGGCTGACTCCAAAGATTTTCATCCAACCTGATGCGGAGTTTCACGTTTCTCTCACCGGGTCTCACCAGGCTCTGAAGCCTGAAGCAGCTAAACATGTCAGAAGTGCCTTCTCCAAGACATCACAGCGCATTCCATTGCACTCTTGCTATATATATATATGTGATGATGGATGAGAAAGTGTTGCAAGTGCTGTTTCCACATTTCAGTGATTAGTCTTGATCGCTTGATCCTGTTCACACACCAAGGTGCATCTAGATCTCAGGAGGGCACCAAAGAATATAAGCGGTGAACATCTAGATCTCCTATACTAGTTTTGGGAAATGAGCCCTATACACCACTCACCCTATCATCATAAGCCATCCGGTACCTGAATGAGACGACAATGCACCTTGGCCACTTGGAGCCTTGTGCGGAAAGGTGCGGCAGTGAAAGGCCCCTGAGCGAGTGGACAGGTAGAGGTTGGGATACACCCAAATGGTTGATGATCCTATACAGAATCTCAATAATGTCCTATGGAGGGTTGACAGGGAAAACCATGAATATCATCATAGATGATGGTAACAGGGATGCAACAGGGATTTGGTCCCATTGTCACATGCAGCAAAATATCATGTGAACGGTTTTTAACGTTCATGACACTAATTAGCCTTCTGGACATGAAAGAGCTCTCTTCTGCCTTCATGAGACTAATCAGCCTTATAGGCTGCCCCAGGTATATGTATATATATATATATGTGTGTGTTGGTTGGGCTTGTCCGAACTTACCTGTAACAGTCAGTAATCAATTGTATATCCCCTAGGGATCCAAAGCCACCCCACCCCCACCTTCTGAGAAGGTACGACTGAATCCGGATATACTTTTACTAACCATCATCATCCACTGCTACAGGTATTGGGATAGACCCAAGGTGTTGGGCCTCCAAGAGTTCTCTGAAGGATCCATCAAGATCGGATGATCCTCAGGGCCTCTGAAGATGCCGACTGCCACTCGTACTTCGCAGAAGGTGATTGGAGCCACTGCTACGTATCTATGCCACTGCTATCCATTCGGGATCCAGGTACCTTGTCAGGTACGGTGAGCCAGGTGCGTCCAGGAGACCAAACCTGAGAAGGTCGTAGCTAGATCCCGAATGGGATCCTTCTTCGTCTTCGCGCAGTAGCGAGGCCTTCACCGAACTGGCTCCCGGTGCCTGGCGCCGCTTGCGACCGGACGCCGAGACCTCCGTGTCCGTGCGCTGCGCCGTGCCGCACTGCGCTGCTTCGGGACCGGTGGCCACTGGGCGGAGAAGTGGAGGATAGGTATACGGACCTGGAGTCGACCAGAACATCGTAGCTCGGAACATGGGTAATTACAAAATATTACAAGTATAACTGTAACTTTTTTAAAAAATTGGCTCATGTGAACATGGGTACAAGTATATTGGCTTTGATTGGGTTATGTACTATTTTTGTTCGGGTACTTGATGGAGTGTCCAGGAAGAGACATGTTTTTTTTGTGGAACACATGTGGCCGTTTCTTTTTGATTGGTTCACGGTTCATGCCTGGATCCTCCAATTGTGCATGGTGCTTTTGCATTCTTCATCTATAAATCCAGCCAAAAGGCAGAACAATTTATGGCATATATTATATTAGTTGGATGGTCTCATATGAGGTACATGGATGGTCTCATATGAGGTATACAGGCATTTTGATGTAGGATTCAAGGCAGAGATGCAGGGCTCCAGATAGTCCGTTGTTGGAAGCACTGGACTACAAGTACACGACGTACAAGTCTCCAGACAGGGCACCCAGACAGGAAGTGCGAGGTAGGCTTCCGACCGGATTTGAGCCGAAGAACAGCTGTTTTACTAAGGACTTGGCACTACGAAGCCAGCTCAACATATCTTAAATGTCTTGCAAGGCTAGGGTATAGATAGATATATATATATATATACAGTTATATACACATGTATATATATATATATATACACATACTTTCCATATAAGTTCGGCCGGCCAGTTTTGAGGGGTGCTGGCCATGGGCAGACTCACAGGGCACAGGCATTTTGATGAGAGGAAACGTCCTTCTCAGTGGCGCATAACTTGCGCCAAGGGTTAGTCGATATATGCATGGAATCCTGGCCCACCTTGATTCGATTGACCGTGGGGGGGCGGTTTCAGAGATCTGTTGGGGATGTCTCATTACCTGTAACAGTCGGTAAACAATTATCGCTTATCAATCACTTATCACTATCACTATTTTAGAGAGAGGCCCTTACTAACCTATCATCATCCATCATCATCCGCTGCTACAGGACTGGGATATACTCAAGAGGTTTGTATGTTCTATGATATATGTGGTATGTTTGAACCCAGAACCCAGAACCCAGCGACTCATATTGTTCAAGTGAGTTGAACCGACCAACCGTTTTGATACAGAGGAAGTGTTTTGCCGAGCATTTAACACGACTAAAGAAAAGTCAACCGAACTCACTTAATGGTCTTGGAAGACCTACAGTTTTGTTTTTGTGTACGTACTGCAACTGTAGAGGGTCCAGAGAACATTGAGCTTGCAGTGAGGGAGAGGAACATGGGACATGACCCTACAAAAGCAGGTATACTTGTACCAATTGTCTGATGTGACTTGGAGGGTCCAGGTATGTATCTATAGCGCAGTGCGCCGGATGCTGAGGATTTCCGTTGCCATGTGGAGCTCACGCCCCGAATGCCTCAAAGCGCCGAGAGAAGAATCGACCTGGGCGGTGAGGAGCTAAAAGGTTCGAAGCTGCGCGTCCTCTTCGATGGGGGGTCTTCCCAACAAAAGAAAGTGCTTTAGACCAACACCCTAGGCCTTGAGTTCTCCTAGGGATTCACATATATCCTCTGAGGTACGGTGAGCAAGGAGACTCCTTGATGTAGGCGCCAGCCAGTCGGGTCCAATCATCTTCTCAGAAGGTATGTGAAGATCAAAAGTCGCCGTAAATAGAACTGACCTCTTCCTGTTACCAGTTACCAGGTACCTGACCCTTTTTGCCGGAGTGACCCGAGCTCTTACCTACATGCTTCTCATCACGTCAGACCTCGATTTGAGTGCTAAGTTGAATACATTTGAATACACTGAGGTGGGTTGATGATCGAGCGCAAAGAACCCAGACACGGCTGATTCAGGTTGCCCGCTTCTGGCTAAGCCAGAAAGAACCAGGCATCAGCAAGCCTCTGCAAGTCCATGCAAGTCCAGAGTAGGCCCAAAGTAGCCACTAAGAGCTCATTCATTTCTTGCCTGTCACCCACCGCCATCATCTTGGGCCCCGTCACCCCCCCAGGGGTTTGTTTCCAGTCAGTGTTGTACTCGGTGTGAGCTCACCCTTTTGGCTTATTGGGGTAAGTCCAAGGTTTCTGCCCTTGCCAGTCAATTTTGTTTTTCCAGCAGTGTTAATTTCCTTGGGCCTGTGGTGCACCCCCCCACGATTTGATGTGGCGGTCCAGCAGCAGAAGGCACGGGTGTACCAAGTGCCGGGCTCAGGGCACAACAGCGCAGCTTCTTCTAAAGCCGAGTTGGCGCAAACCCTGTGCCAGAGCTTTTAAGGGCAGACGGTTCTAAGTTGCTAGAAGCAAGTGTGGTGCATAGGAAACCAAATCTACATATAGACGATCCCCAGTTGGCTGGGTAGCCCAGGTCGCGGGCCCTAGATATCAGGTCACCAAAAAGAACATCTCTCTTGGTGGACCAAAGCACAGAAAGATGGCCCGCCACATCTTCCATTCGTCCAGCTTTGAGGCCGAACATCTACTTAGAGCTGATGCCGTTGCGGCCCCTTGGAGCTGATGCATGTCGACATCTGAACGCCAGAACAAACTGCTGCAGTGCGGACATGTGCGGACAAAGCGATGGGTGAGTTGAGATGACATGAGGCACCTGGACAGTTGTGTACTGGTACACCCATTAGCTCCTGGTGCTTTTTCCCATGGTCTGACGGAGGTGAGTAGGTACATTGTAGGTACAAAACCATAGCATGGCTGAAGTGTGGCTAAAAGACATCCGATTCGCACGGGCCTGGACCCTCTTTCTTTGTCTTCTCTTGCAGGCCGATTGTTCAACATACATTGGCCCACAAAGATCATCATGGACCTTCCCAACATCGCCAAATTGGAGTCCTCGGGCCGTTGGGCCGTTGCCATGCATCCCCTCAGATGGCTTGAACGAAAACGTGAAACAATCCCAGAGACTTCATTGGGAGTGGAATGTATACCTACCCTATCCTACCCTGTAAGTCCATCGGCCTTTTTTCAGAATGGTCGACGACTGGAATGTATGCCTACATTGACCCCTGGAAGTCAAAAAAGAACCTGGCCGTTTCTCCCAACACAGGTCGTGTTTCGTGGACGGACATCAACCCAAACGACTCCTGGCACCAAGGTGGCTTCGTTCCTGCCCAAAACACCATCACCCAAGGCAAGTCGTGCCAAAATGGCGCTGCCAAACATCCCGTATACGATGACTTGAGTGGCAAACAACACAACCACCAGGTGCCACACAAGGACTTCTTACATATTTCGCCTGGGTTCTTCAGTGCGTGACCAACCTTGATTCCCTGGTTTCGACATGTCTGGCCTGGATAGTTCGAAAGCAGGCCAGAAGCTGAACTATCCAGAAGCAATGGACTGAACGGAAGCTGAAGAGGAGACGCACTTGATCGATCTCTGTCGCTCGGACGTTCGGAAGCTGAAGGAGCTGAACGGACTGAACAGATCGAGGCCAGTCCAGTGCAATGCGTTGATTGAGGAGAATCCCTAGCTAGCCCTCCAAGAACCATCAAAACAGAGTTCTTCTCTACCTGGTTTTGTCGTTTTCACAGTCAGATCCAGAGTAAAAAGACCCTATAGGGCTCCAACCACCTCCTGAGAAGATGGTTGGGGTGGGTGCCAGGGGGGTCTAACCACCGAACCTCAGGATATGGTTGGAGCCCTAGGGAGATGTAAAAAAGCAACGTTTTTTTTTTCGGTCAAGACCATTAAATCGTGGGCCAAGACTCCATCTTCGGGAAGGGGAACAAGTGGGAACGGTGGTTGAAACAACCAGCGGCATCGTGTTGAACTGCCTGGATCCCTTGGGAACTGCCTGGATCCCTTGGGAACTGCCTGGATCCCTTGGGAACTGCCTGGATCCCTTGGGAACTGCCTGGATCTCTTGGGAACTGCCTGGATCCCTTGGGAACGTGTCTGGATCTCTTGGGAACGTGTCTGGATCCCTTGGGAACTGCCTAAGGCTACATTGCCAGCTGACTCTTGCTGCACTTCGAATGGATATGGGTGCGGTGGATGAGGCCGGGACGGGCTGAACCTCACAGGTGGATGGGACCAGATAAGGGGCTGTTTCGGGGCGGAGGATCCCTGTTCATATGCTCGGAATGAACATGCATTAAACTGGACAATTATGTTTTAAAGAGAACTTTGAGAGAACAACCCTGCCCAGAGGGGATGCGGCTGGATGTTTTACGTTCGTTCTGTCTGCTTTACATTTACACCTGGTGCACTTTCGCATCACCGACTGATTCAACTCAGCACCTGCCAATCAGCTGTATGTCATGCGTTCTTCGGTTAGGGTTGAAAGCTTGTCGTCGACTGTCGGGACAAGTTCCAGATCAGCAAGCCTTGATTGGTACTTTGATTGGTCGCCAGCAGAAGACTTGGGCAGATCTGCAAAGCAAAATCTGGCAGACCGGGGACAGAGACTTAGTGAAGTGTCTTTCAGGTTTGGCATGTGTTCTTTGCGAAAAGACATTGAGGTATTCAGGCGAGCAGGCATGTGTGTTGAAGTTTTGGATGGGTCTTGCTGCAGTCGGCAAAAACGTCACCTTTTGCAGTCTCCTGCGGCAATGATATGTCTGGCGCCAGGAGTCTATAGACAATCGAATTCAGAATATTGCGCTCCAGTCATACGGTCCGGCAGGTGTTTCGACCTTCCAAAACCTATTCCCAAAGAGCTCCAAAGACCTCCAAGCCACTGGGAACGGATTAGGAGTGATTTAAAGCATAGAACCCTAAACACGCATGACTTGAGAGAAAGCTACAGCACCATGCAAGACCCATAGTGGTCAACCGTTCGACCATCAAGCCCTGAAGAAATCGCTTTGGCACCGCTTGGTATTCTGCTGTTTAAAGTGGATATGTTACCTCGTCGCGCTAGCAAAACTCGCATTAGGTTTGGTGCTAGGATCAAGTACTTAGGTAACTTAGATAAGATTAACAAGCAACACATTCCTCATGCACTGGCAGGAAAGCTAGGTCGCGCTAGACCCGCGCTAATTCCGCGCTGGACCCCTACTATGCAACTTTGACCACTTGTCCAAGTGCTGAGCAGGGCCTACTGCTCCCACTATTGCAAACATACACACAGACGCGCGAGTAAAGAAAATTAAAAAAACAAGAAGGGAAGCGGGGGGGGGGGGGGGGGGGGCTTGGTATACACAAAAAAAGATAGGACAAGCATTAACCATATCTTGACAACTTGTTTCTGGGTGCAAGAGGACGGCTACTTTCAGCTTCACCTTTGAAACAGTTGGACTCTGTAAGTAAGAATGCAGCAGTTAAAAGGGCATGCGCAAGATACAACCATATACATGAGCGCATGTTGTGTACATGATAGCCACCGCTTGGAATTGCTGTGATTTCAACCTAGGATACCCTGGCGGTCCAGGACCTGAAAAAGTAGGGTCCTCGGAATGTCTGAGGAATCAGGACCTGAAAGGTACACACTCGGCAATGCTTGAACCATGTACTTTTTGAGGTCCCGGACCTCAAAAGGAACGTACACAATATATAGTTAACATCCGTGAGCTTGAAGCTCCTCACTCCCCATGAGCAAGCGTGAGCAAGCGTGAGCAAGCGTGAGCAAGGACCTCATAAAGTACCTCGGCGGACCCAAAAAGAACCTCAGCGGACCCAAAAAGAACCTCGGCGGACCTCAAAAAGAACCTCGGCGAGCGTGAGCAAGCGTGAGCAAGCGTGAGCAAGTGTGAGTACTGCGATGCTAAAACATGTGTAAGTTTAGGTGCGTGCATGTCTTGAGAGGCCATATGGGATACTCAGCTCGTGGGTCACTCGGCATTGTTGTGGGACACTCGGCGCATGTACTTTTTAGGGTCCCCTCGGCGGAGGACTTACTTTTCAAGGTCCCAGGACTCTGAGGGATAATGATTCTAGAACAGTTTTTTTCAACTCATATGGGTGTGCATTTAAATAGGGAGACCGTCTAAAGACCCTATGGAGGAAGGACAGTAGACTAAACTCCATTGGTTGGGAGGTCCCGCTTTTTATAATACAAACCCATATAATCCTATAGACCACGTTCGACTTCTTCGGGTTTCCCATCTTCGCCTTCGCCTTCGCCTTCGGGGCTCTGGACTTCGGTCGGGAGCCGAGCCGAGCCGAGCCTCCAGGCAGGTCAACTTCTGCAAGATGCAGAACTCTGCATGACCAGGTGCCATGGCGAAAGCCGGACCTGCTGTTCGGTCCACGCGCGTCAAAACGCAACGCTTCTGTTTTGTTGTTGTTGTTGTTGTTCTCGGCACGACAAAGAGTGGGAGGACAGGGGAGGAGACGGGACGATGGGAGGGGCTGATATGCGATGGTATAGTGTACGTTATACTTGTATCCATTGTCCGAGGTACTTGGATTGGAGGGTCCAAGTATATAATCAAGTGTTAAAAGACATCAATGGGGCCAGATTGGAGCCCAAAAAACTATTTTTGGAGCCTGTGGTGTTTACCCCGACACCATTTTGGGGAGATTTAAAAGGCGCCATTCTTGAGGTGTCCAAAGAAGAGTGTAGAATTACGTGGTTTTGCTGGATGATGGTTGTTGTCCCTACCTCGACCCGACTTCAAGTACCCTAGAAAATGGGGGATGACCTGAACAAAAAGAGGTATTTGCGTAACTGTCTTCTGAAGTACTTTGAGACTCCTAGGTATTGGTAAATCCCAGAATGAGGTCACTTAGTCCCTGGAGAGGTCACTTACAGACTCCAAAGAGGTCACTTTGAAGGTCATGGTGGGAGCCTGTTGGTCCGGTTCCCTCAGCAAATTCAAGACTCCCATTCGCTGTCGACTGGCTGGTTTCTCGCTCTCCGCGCCGCCAGGTGTGTTGAAAAGGTGCCGTGGCAACACGTGCAATTCTGCATGCTGAAGCTCAGGTCGGGTATGGTCGGGTCATTCTTTTGCAAAAGACAAACCCAGACACTCCACATATGCCATGTATGCCTACATTGGGGTGGTTTGGGTTTTGGGGGTCAATCTATACATATATGGCATACATGGAGTGTCTGTGAATGGAAAAAGGCTCAGCCCAGAGGCGAAGTCTGGAAGAATCCTTCTACGGAGGGTCCGACCACCCCTGCCAAGCTTTCAAATTGTACCTGGCTGGAAGCCCGAACCCACTGCTGAATAGATCTGCAGCCAGGACTCCAGGACCCACCGAAAGGAAAGTCCAGATATGAGATAATGTTCTTCAAGAACTTGGCTGCTTATGATAATTATTCTCAGAAGCATCTCTATGCCATCCTTTGGGGTCATGTTCCAAGAATATCCAAGAAAGCCAAATAGGCCTACATCTAATACCTGGATCTGCAACCATTTGGGCCATTGGAAGCTCCAGGGTCTTTTTCAGCCTATTGGAAGCGCTCCAGTCACCTTCCACCAACCACCAACCACCGCAGGTGGCGGCGCCTGAAGTATCGCATGGGCACCATGGTGCCATCGGCCCCCTTGGACGCGCCCAACTGCATCTTGTGACTCGTAGCAGACGAAGACTGGGGGCTGAAAGCGCATCCCATGACTGTTGCGCGACGAATGACATGAAGACCGAAGTAGAAGACCCAGAGCAGAGAATGACATGCCATCATGTAACCATGTACCAGCACCTGACTCTATACAGGTCTCCGACATGGTGGCGACAATGCAGACTGAAATAAGTGGCGTTGGAGGGTCCTGGTACCCATTGTTCTGTGGTAGCTTACAAACTTACAGGGTATGCGAGAGTTTTTTGGGTCAGAGTTGGATGTGTCATGGTATGTCATGTTGAGTCGCTTGCTTTTAGCGTTTTTGCTCGGGAGAAGTGTGTTGCATCAATGTTGTTTGCAAACAGTATCAGTTAAAGAAGTGTTTGGGCGTTTCCGTGGCGAGGTCTCACACCGGTCCACATCACAACTAAACCTATGAAATAGTCTTTTGGATGTCGCACGCTGCCAGTAGCAGCGCAACAAAGGGTAAGACGTGTTTTATAGCCATTATAGCCTCTCTTAGTTCGGAAGAACTTCTTCAAGAGCCCACAAGGGTCAGAAACACTTCTTCTGCGCTAATTGTTCCGAAACAAAAGACAGCCCGCAAACAACTTCACAATGTGTCATGTTGAATGACCGACTTGATCAGGGTTTCTCTATTTCGGTGAAGCAAAGCAAACCTATCCACTCAGTGGATCTCCTGCTCATCTCCATGTGCCTGCAAAACCAACAGGGAATCAAAATAGAACATGCATCCAGATCTGTGTGATTCTTCCATATGTGTCCATCTACTCCCAGATATTATATTGCCCTATATACCAGCACCTTCCGTTTGAGGTGTCTATAAATAGCCTTTGCATGACGTGATTCGGGTTGTCCAAAAGCCACTGCGCAAACGGAAGGTCCAAGGTCCTGGTACATTGACCAAGGTCCATGTATATTTTGGGTCTGTCCTATTACCTGCAACAGTCGGCAAACAAGGACATCACTATTTTAGAGAGAAAGGCCTGCAACCTAACCATCATCATCCATTGTTACTGGTAATGGATAGACCCAATGTATGTATATGTATCAGCCGCCCAGGTATCGAGATCCCAAGACCTTTGCCAGCTGCATCGCTCCGTCACCCTCTTCGCCCTTGTACCGCACGTGGCGGCGCCCAGAAACAGGAGTTGCGTCAGACATGAGCGTTTGCAGCACAGATGATGCCTCAGGACTCAGGACCAATCATGATGATGGTGATGTTGGTGATCATGATGTATATCATATTTACCTACATTAGCCCGTTTGGCTTCCAACCACCACAAATATACATATTTGTAATTTTAATAGCGTGAATCCCAAACCACCATGTGTTTTACTAGGGATTTTACACTGCAAGACCAGGTCACCCAGTAGTTGCATGGTTGAACGGAAGGACAGGATCAGGGTGGTTGAAACGGGGTCAATGTAGGTAAATATGCCACGCCAGCACCTCACTCTACAGGCCTCTGAAATGGAGGCTTGGGCTTGATGCAGGTCTCCAAAAGTGGAGCTGGTGACCTTTGGGTGAGCGTTGGAGGCTTCGGTACTTGGAGTGTTTGGTACCTTCTCACTGCGTGCCTCAGCCCTTGCAGCGCTCGGCCATTGGGCCGTACCGCCACGGCCTTGAGGTTCTTGGAACGTGCCAAGCCGCCGCAGATTGTGAGCCTCTCGGAGTGGGTGTGGAGGCTCAGCGAAGAAGTGGCTTCTCCAGAAGTGGCAGTGTCCGAACTGACCTGTTATCACTATGTTTGAACAAACCCTTTGCTATTGATCATCATCCACTGTGACAGAGAATGGCATAATATATAAGTTATGCTTATATTATATGTAACTGTAGTTGTTTGCTACTATGCTAATGCGGCATTGCGTGTTCTTTTTAACCTGGCGCGAAATAAAAGGGCCCCACATCGAGCATCCATGTGGTGTGTTCATGTGTTTTTGAATTTGTTTAACGTTCTCAGTCTCAGAGAGGTGAAGTGACCGTAAATAGGACCCGTCACCTGGGGTACCTATACAGGATAGTCTAGTTCGGGTGCTTCAACCTTTGCTGGCTCTCAGAGTTGTAAACGTTCCCCTTTTCACCACCCACTGGCCTTGCACGAGGTGCCTCCCACCACCCCCTGGCCTTGAGGTGCCTCCGCACGAACGACAGCCGGAAGAAGCATACCAGCTCTATATGCAGGAGAGAAGTGATTGAGCACAGACCATGCTAGCTTTAACCGGAAAATCCTGTTGTCCTCGAACTCAGTCATCCTCCCCCCAGCCGCTAACTCCAACCCAGAACTTGATATAGCTTCATGTTGGAATCCAGGGCGGGTGTGGGAGCAGATCGTGTAGTACTGGCTCAACTCAGTCAAGATGTGCAAAGTATCTCTGTAGTCTTTGTAATATCCCAACCTGTCGTGCTTTTGGTGCAGAACACCCCTTGCGATGAGTTGAGACTGTTGCAAACAGGAGCAACATATGCCAGAGGACTTTACAAACAGCCTCCCCTTAGGGCTCCAGTCGTGCCTCAGAAATGATTTGGACCCTCTAAACTCTAAACCCTTCCTAGTCCCAGCTTCTAAGAATATATAATAAGAATATAATGGAGCCCCTAGTACCCTAGGGCTGGTTCTTCAGTTGACGTTTGATTCACTTTCTCAGTTCCAGGCTTTTCCAGTTCGCTCGGATGGGACTCCAGTTCAGGGGTCGCCGGTGACGGCGTCGATCGGAAGAGACGGGACGCACATGGACCGGGCTGCGTCGTCCCGGTGGAGAGTGACCTGAACTGTCGGACCCGGAAAACCTTGCCATGGGGTATCTACAAAAGGACAGTCGAACGTTCGGGTTCTGAAGCACCGGAATGCTGGATTGCTATAGAAGTGAATGCCCCCCAGGAGTTCCTAGGGGGTGCCAAACTTGCGAGGCGACAGGCGACAGGATGGTGGTAGGGAATGAGCGAAGAAAGATCAGAAGGCTTGTGCCATTCAGCGCCAGTGTTTTTTTTGACATCCACTCACTGGACGGGATTGAAGAGCACCCTGGGCACTGGAACACCTGTGTGTTTCCTCATTTCCTTCAGAGATTGTCGTCTCCGAAGCACTCATAATATTGAAATGGCAGTGGAACTGGTGCACCTGGCCTCTCAAAGTACCTTGGACAATCGGTACCTCTTTTTAGGGTCATGTTCCATTTTCCAGGGTACGAACTGGAGACTCCATGCCTGGACCCTCATTCAGGATGAGATTTCTGCCTGCTTAAGATAATTTCTGCTGGAATTCTAGCCTGCACGAGTTCCTAGGTATATATAGTTACGATGTAGTGCCCGCTCTGCATCGCATCAACATCTTCTTGGCATTCATTGCTTTGCATCGTCTCCAGGAATTCCTGCAAGTGGCGCGACTGGCTTTGAAAGAAGGCGCCGTCCGCCGTCCTTTGAGGGTTGGACCCTACCAGGACCATCCGTTTGAGGCGGCCAGCCAGCAACTGAGTCGGTTGCTATACAGTCGGTTGCTGACGTGATATGTATGCAGGAAGCGCTTCATGCACAACTTCTTACACCAGGACCATGACTGTTTGAGTTGCCTAGAAACTATCGCCTCTAGATAAAGAGATGAGGAACGGAATATTCCAAGAACCACCAGACGAACGGGTTCGGTCTTGGTACGGGTCCAATACATTCAAACCACCTCATTTGGCTGGAGTTGGTGCCGAGCAGGATCGTCTGAAGTCCGTTCGATCATTTGACCCAAAGGCTCCACACACACACAGGCCTCGTTCCATCTGGGATCCGTCTAAACCGGTTCAGACTCGGCCCCTGACGGTTCAGACTCGGTCCCAGGTCCGGTGCCGAGTCGGGTTCCAACGCGTGGAGGGGTCCAGCTCAGAGAACATCCCCGGTTCGTTGCTTCAGAATGGAAGGAGGTTCTGGCGGCTTAGGGGATCGATCCGGCGTTATAGGGGGTGTGGATGTTTTAAATCCGGGAGGCTGGGTAGATTGACCTATTTGCCCGGGGTTTGAACGCCTGGAAACTCTGAGAGGGTCTCACCTTTTTACACAAACACCCATTGGGGTTGGACATGTCCATAACTACATGTATAGCAGGCACCTTCCAACAGGTCTCCGACATGGTGGCTGGAATGCAGACTGATTTAGGTGGCCGGTGACCTATGCAGGTTTCGGGTGCTACCCTCCACCATTGTTGGGGTGATTCGGTGCCAAGCGGTCCGTCTCCCTGTCGGTGCCCAAGTCGACTCCATCGGCGACGGGTTTCGGAGTCCCCAGACACTCCATGGGACTGCCATATATGCCATATACATTGACCCCCCAAACCACCCCAATGTAGGCATATATGGCTGTCCCATGGAGTGTTTGGGGACTATAAGACTGTCAGTTTCACCCGCTGCGAGAAAGAAGCATATTGAACCATCTTTGACATCCACTGACTCAACATTTGTTTGTTTGAGTTGAAACTACCCAACCAAGCAGGTCATGTAGACAAATCCTATGGACTGCCCAGGTTCTATGTATTTGCCACCCAATCACCAGCCGACATGGGTGGTGCTGTTTCTTTTCCTTCATTTTGTCCTTCAGTTTTCCTGACTTCCCACGTGTCACTTACCTGTCGTTTGGTGTGGATCATATTGTTACTAAGACCAAGTTCCTCAACAAAGTGATCCATATTCTCCATGTTCTTAGTGCCCAGTCATATAGCACGTCTTGACCCGACTTCCTTGAACAACACCCAGCTCCTTCACTTCATGACGTTTTTGGAGTCCCATGGATGGCAGGCCAGAAATCACATATCTCCGCCCCTAATGGCAAAACTCACAAATCATCCACAGGTTCGGTTTCCAACTGAAGAACAAGTCTCACCAACTAGTCTCAAAACCAACTCTTTCACACAACAACCAACGCTTTCACTCCAAAACGACTACTCTTTGCACCGCTCGCCGCGTCGCAGCGTTCCACGCGCCTATGAGCCGCTCCGCCCATTACGCCGCTCCGCGGAACGGCTCCGAACGGCTCCGAACGGCTCCGCGGAACGCAGGTGGCCATGACGTGCGGCAGCTCCTGGAGCTCTTCGACGAAGCGCTGGAAGAGCTCCTCCGCACCGAGGCGCCGTCACGCGGCGGAAGCACGCGGTCGACGGGAGGACGACACGCGCGGAGACCGACCGACCGGATTGAAGAGCGGGAAGACGGCGACATGACGCGAAAGACGTGATTTGGATTGATTTGGTTGTTGTGTTTGTTTTTTTCTCCTGTCCGGAGTGAGGGTGGTTGGAGATTTTTACAGATTGCCTGATAGGCTTCTCCTCCTTGGTGGGCATCACTCGAAGTAAAGTTTTTTTGTTTTAAGGTGCGAGATGGACTAGTTACATGGTGCCACGACCTTCATTCCAAAGTCTTTCGCGCAGTTCTGATATGTTTTGCCCTGGGATTCCAACAACCATTGTTTAGGGTATGGTGTTTTCTCTTCCCTGCTGTTGGTTTTTTCCCTTGCTTGGTATGTTTTTTCTCCTTGTTCGCCTTGAGTGATGGCACGGCACCAGACTTTGGAGCAAGCAACCGGGGTTTTGTGGCCTCATTGACAGGAGTGACAGTCAACGAGCCATCAGAAGTCGACATGAATATGTGGAAAGGAATTTTCTCCTCAATCCATCGCTCGAACTTTTGCTTTCAAATCGCCCATTTTTACGGTTTGATCACTGAGATCAAGAGGTGGCCTGCAGCCGACGACGTTTTAGTGAACATCGCGCCATTCCCTGCCGGAGCTCCAGCACCCGTGAACGGAACATCGCGTCTGATGTTCACTCTGTTGTTGGCAGAGCCGGAAGGGGCTCTGCCTCCGGCGCTGAGAGCTCGATTGGTGGCACACTGTGTAAACCCTCGAGTGCCTTCAATGAAGGCCCTGTCCGCACACGAGGATGTTTTTGGGGAATTCAAAAAGTACGCCGTGATGGCGCAAGGGATTGGCCTGAACCCCGAATTGAGCGCCAAGATAATAGTTTGGCACGAAGATTCCAAGACCAAGAGCGAAGATCGCTTCGGGCCGGGTGACCAGGTCATTCTCACGAACGAAGAGGCAACTCAGGCTTTGCCTTCTTTGGGGCAAATCGTCGTGAATCTCTCGATCAGTTCCGCCTTTCCAGCATGCAAGGCTTTGGCTGGGAAGACAGGAGCACATACCACCCGACCTTACCATACGTGTGTTGGATTGACACCCGACACTAACTGGATCGAAAGGTTCTCGTTAGTGCTAGAACCTGTCGACCGCGATGCTGCCGAAGCTTTGCGCCTGGCGTTGCGCAATTTGCCGGTGCCGGCTGGTAAAGCACCACCGGTCACTCCTGCTAAAAGTGCCGCGCTGATGTCCACAATCGTTACGAACACCCACAACGCATTGGTGGCAAAAGCCAAAGCGGCAGGAGAAGCGTATCCAAAACCAAACTTCGCGGCATTGCGCTGATCTTATCTCAGCAAAACGCCTAATAATTCATCAACTGCGGCATTTTCGCAGTTAGTGCTGCTACACTTTCGCTCTTCGTGCAAAAAAGTTGGTTTAGCGGCTTTCAGCAAGTAAGCCAACGAGATGCTTGCACTGCGATGACGAGGAGTTTATGTCGTACAAGATAGCCAGGCACAGGAGGTTGGACATCCTCGGAGTGCCGCCTGCCAAGAGGAAACGCCGGAGAGATCAGTTGGAGTACCTTCCGCAGGACGTGGATGCCGGGCTCCGATTGTATCGCGACGAGTTCACGCAGGACGAGCAGATTGAGTGGGAGCGAGTTGAGTCGGACCGACGGAGTTCATGGTCGCTTCACACCCGGCCAGGACTGTCCAATCGAGATCAGCGTGAGTGAGTGAGTGAGTGAGTGAGTGAGAGTGAAAGAGTGAGAAGCAAGAAGCACCCGCTCCAGCCACCCAGATTTTGCGAGCCTGCGCAGTCGAAATGCACTTCGAGGATTTCGCGAAGCATGAATGTATAGTGTAAATAGCAGCGAATTAGTCGGACACGGATGCGCAACACCTCGATCTAACACCGGTGCTTAACTACTGCCGTAAGAACCCAGTGGGAACAGAAACCCCAATTTGGGCACCCTCCACCCCAAGCACGGAAAGTAGAACACCTCTCAGACAGAACGCAAAACACTGCTGAGGAAGAAAAGACACCAGGGAACAAAAAAGCATTTCAGAAAAAATATCAAGAAACAAACCACCTTTCAAGGAACAGAAAACCCGCGGCTCGTAATTAAATGGTTTTCCAAGTATTTGTAAGACTACAATGCCATATATTCGTTATCATTGTGTTTGAAGGCTACACGGGAAACAAAGTCCGCGTTGTTGCCACCCACACCTGGTAGTGACGGACTGAGTTGTTTGGAACCCAAACTTTTGTGGAAGGTCCTGGTACATGGAGTGTGTGGGGATGTGTGGGGTCATTAAGAAATGAAACTGTTTTGTTTTCTGGTGATCACAAACCCTTAAGGGTTTTGTGTGCAACCCGAACCCTATGTGTGTGTGTGTGCGCTTTAGATCGAATTCTAATGATGGTAACAATTTATAACAACATCGTGTTGTTTATACTGACCCCTTCTAAAAATATCGGTTCTAGTTGCACAAAATATACCTAGATCTTCAGCCCGGCACTTTTACAGGGTCCGGCGCCGGACTTCCAACTCCGGCGTTTTCTGGATTTGGTCCGGCACTTTTTCCAAGTCACTTTATGTGGATTCTCAAGGCTTTGCATTCTTTGTGGTTTGCATTTCTTTGCATTGAAGGTAAACCCACTACTGATGCAATGATGTTGTTTGCAAAGTGTGCTCGTTTGCCTGTCCGCTGTTTTCTCATTCCACCGGTTTCAGCATGGTTCACACTGGATCAATCAGATCCGTCTAGGTGATCTTCTAAATGAAACCGGATGAAGCCGGTACAGTGCGATGCACGTGTTGAAAGATCCAAGTGGGTGTACCTAAGCTGAAAGAACATAGGCAAAAATGTACTCCCATTGTTTCAGGATGTCGGGGCGCTGGGATATAGTTCTAGCTGCGCAGGTTTGCAGAGCCTGCCGGACAAGTTTTGGGCTGTGGAACATGTGTTGCTCAAAGTGCAAATACAAGGCCAGCGGGCGCTCGCGCTGCCGAAGCCCGACTTGGCATCTGATTGACGAAAAGATGCCCAGCAAAACCTTGCCAGTGTGTCCTGTTTCTTGTTTGAGTGTTTTTGTCCTGTGTCTTGGCTTGCGGGTTCTTGGTTTGGTGGAGTGGCTCTTTGGGCCATGCTGGCTCTCTGGGCTATGCTTCCAGGTTTGTTGGAGTGGCTCTCTGGGCCATATTGACATGACCAGTGGCTCTTTGGACCCTTCAGTGCCCTGAGAATGTTGCCCCTCCATCAGTTTTGGCTGCTCCAGCTGCCCTGCGCGACCCACTACCTCTGTGTGGACACTTTGTGATGGCCACCACACCAGTTGTTGGTGTTGAAGTTGAATGGATGTCTGAGTACATCTGCCCAGTGTTTGGCCCCTTGGACCAGCTAGTCATCTGCAAGTATCAGCACAAGCCAACCAGTCGCAAGGAGGAGTGGATTGTGTTCCAGCCCATGACTGCCTGTGTGGGATTCCTTCGCTTGACCAAGCGGCATCTTGTCCTTTTATGGCTCACCGCCTTTTTATGGCTCACCGCCTTGGACATGAAAATTTGAACAAAAATCAATTTTCAGGAAGCGCCGTGCTTTTGATGCATGTGGTGCTTGGGAGATGACCTTTGATGACAAGGGCCTGCCGACAGTTCATCTGTATGGATTTGCTTGCGCACAGCATCCAACAGTGAAGAAATGGGATTTGAACTTCGTCTTTGATGAGAGTTGCCAAAAAATGGCGCGTCGTAACTCCGGCGAAATTTCCCGTAACTCCGGCGTAATTTCCCGTAACTCCGGCGTAATTGTTTGGACTGAGTCTTCTGCAGGTTTTGACTTTGAAAAGTTGTTTCAACTAAGAGTTTTGACAGGAACCATGAGTTCTGCTACTTTATTGGGGGGGCCCGTCCTGAGGCAAGCTTTAAAGAAACATGGAGAGCAGCCCACTTTGTCAAAACAAACTTTAGAGACACGGTTGCAGAGAAAGAGGGGTTCCTTGCCACATACTGTTTGGTTTCTTCTTGGAAGTCTTTGCTTGGGCACAAGGCACAAGTTGCCTATATTTTGTGATGGTTCTGCTCTTAGGCCATTCGGAAGATGGGCGAGGGCAATGGGAACGGGAAGGCCCCAGTGCTGGGCTGTGGAATGAGTGTGCTCCAGAAAAAACTATTCGTGGCGCAAAGGCAGTTTCCTTGTGTATGATCCAACCTTTTATCATCTATGTTTTTCAGAATCTTGGATCTGGATGTTTTTTAGGTCTCCGGCGTTTTTTTTCGGAATCCGGCGGAAAATTTTGCCGGATTGAGGTCCGGCACTTTTTTCCGCCCAAAGGAGGATCCAGGTATAGGCCGGGTGGAAGCGTGGTTGAACTTTTCCAAAAAATGCCCCGGTGTCGTCCGAACCTGCTGAGGCAATCCTGCTGAGCGATCCGGTGTGGATCTCAGAACTTCGGGAAAAGGCGCAGCGATTCCGTCTGCGCGGCCGAAGCGGTGGACAAGGTTCCTGCGAGGAGAAATACGTCTCTGCAATGCCCCTGATTCAGGATTGGGGAAAGTGTTATGTATTGAGATTGACGGACAAATACATGTCAAGCTGTTAGAATTCATGAATCTATTTGTATATCTCAATCTCCGCGAAGATCTTGGAGCTAGGAACCCATTCAGTTAGCAATTTCGACAATTCCAACTCCTTGCCGCTCCAGGTGGGTCTTGAATGACCCTTCAGCATCCTTCAGCACATGGCTGTGCAAAAACCAGATCCCCTTTCGGTAGATGGACCTCAGACTCGGTCGTCCTTTCTGTTCATCTTCTCTGGTCCCATGACCCACACCCACATGTTTTTCAAGCACTCCGGAGCTTCAGCACCATTCCACATCAACCAGGTCGTAGTCGAAGCAACCGACACCCGACACCGAAAACACGAAAACGGTCGCCCAAGAGTTTTGGGAACGACGTGGGGATTGCAGTCTAGATACCGGCATTCGAGACCTGCCACCAATGTGTTCGACCTGTTAAATAGTACTCAGGCCCAACACCCTACACCCTTGGTCACAAGACCTGGCAAGGTCTCGAGTCTCGGATGCTTGTGTCTGTGTTGGACCCTAGAAACTCCAGGTTCTATAGACGATCTACGTGTCCTTTTGCCAGTGACTTTTGAGGGTTCCCCAACCTCCTGACCTCGGAGGGGAGGGAGGTCGAACGGAGGCGGTCTGATCAATGGTCTGAGTCTTTGGAATTCAAAAGACATCCGAGCAACGGATGGCCCAGGACCCTTAGGGCTAGTATTGAGATGTATTGAGACGATTTAGCCCTTTTGCTCTGAGCATTTTTGTCGGACCTCTCGGACCTCTCCGCCTGAGGAGAGGAAACCACTCTTCCAGCGGATCTACCCCTTCTTCGCCTGTGGGGACGACCCAGATCTCTTCTGGCATGGGTCGGGTGGAGGTTCTCTCAACGGGTCTGCAGACCCGTGGGGTCTTCCTTTGGATGGTGCGTTCTTCCTGGATCTCAAAGAAAGGCACATATATATATATATATTTGCATGTATGTTATGTTATGGTCATTATATGTCTTGATCTCATAACATAACTACATATAGTGGCCAGATACATGACCCAGACAGACACTCCATGATCTCCATGACTCCATGTCATGCCGCTGTCTACATTGACCCCTCAAACCACACTGGCTAGGTCGGTCAATCTTCCGAAACATCGTGTCGACCTTCAATGCCTTGCCACATTGCGTGTTGAAGAACCCTAACCAAGTGCAAACTGGACATGCTTCCTTTTTGGGTGACCCTTGTTCTGAAAGCGTCCCATCCCTTCCGACATCCACCACGAGCCGGAGTGTCCCTGTCCGACCACGAACGTCGGCTCGTCGGCTCCGCCCAACCCCCCCAACACGCGCGGGTGAGGTTTGGACCCTAGACATGTGGCGTGGAACGAACGTGAACGACGCAAGATCAGTTGCTGGGGGTCCATGAGCCGGTTGATGAATGTTTCTCATCCCTGACCTTGGACATTGATAGCCAGCACTTCTTCCAGTTTCAAAGCTTGTGTATTGTGATGTATTGTGTGTGTGTTCGTGTGTTTCCAGCACAAACAAGTTGCTGCAACTGGAGTGTGTAAAAGAAGTTTGGGAATTGAATATCATTTTATCATTTTTGGACATCAAGCAGATCCCTGGTACACTCCAGTTCCCAGTCCGGTGTCCGGTGTGTTTGCGTGCAGCTTACGAGATGGCCTGAGTTTTGATCTCAGTCTTGATGGGGCAATGACACCTTTTGGCCTCATATTATACAACAGCAGGCGTCACTCAGGTTCTATTTCGAGGTGCTGGCTTCCCAAAAACAGCGTGCCGTGCACCTTCCCCGAACCTCTGCGAACGCCGGCACGGTCGCTGCTCCAGGCTTCTCTGCGATGGCCCGGAACCGCAAGGCGCGGTGCGGGTCCACGCGGACGGTCCGCGCGTCATCAGGACGGTCCGCCGCGGTGCGGGTGCGGACCTGCCACGGGGGTTTGGCACCTGCAACCCCTATAGGGTACACTAGTTCGATACACACCAGGCCTGTTTGAGGAGCACATCCCAGGAAAACCAATTCAATGGTGGAGGCTGGGCACGGGTTCATGCTGGAAGTCATTTACTTTAAATCCCAAACGATCCATCTCAGCAAAAAGGACCTACAGTACATCCACCACCAAATGGGACAGCAATATTTGCTTTCATGGCTCATCTGGGAAATCCATACCAGCTTCTTCAGCTCGTGACCTTTTTGGAGTCAGTGCTTGTGAAGGTGACTTTTTGCAGGCCCGAGTGACCTCAAACTGAGGCCTATAGGGACAACACATTGCAAACGTTCAAAGACCATTTTGAAATGATAAATGCTGCTTTGGTGTAAAGTATCCATTAAATCAATTACTGTTCACTTGGTATGGGGCCATTAATAAAACAATGGTTGTCGGGGGGAAGCCCGGAACATTGAAACACAAATAACACATAAAACACTCGATGTACCTTACCCTTGGGCTCCAAGTACTTCCTCAGAAGGTACTTGGACTCTCCAAACCCATCCCAGTCCCACCTTCTTAGAAACGTACGAAGTCCTGGAGCCCAAACGGGTTACTTCATCCTGTCTGGGTGTGTAGCTCGCTTTCCCTACTCCGCCCCTGCTTGGAGCACGGTTGACCGGTCACTGGTGGGACGACCGGGGCGGTCGGGTCCAGGAGCTACCGAACCGGAGGAGCTACCGAACCGGAGGTGTAGGGCATCATATTTCCCTCCCACACCCCAGGTTCTATATGGCACAAACAGCCGTTTTAAAGAGGCTAGGTATATAACATATTTATATATATATATTTGCACTATATTTGAAGATGAGCCCAAGGAAACTGAGACCACCATCACCCACTGAGACTGGTATATTTGGATAGACCCAAGACACACCCTTAATCCCACTTTTGCTCCGTGGACAACCTGCCTCGGTGTTCCCGCGGACCCACGGGGAACGCTTCCCGTCGAACCGCGCCGCGCGAGGCGTTGCTGTTTGAGCCTCCTCAGGCGGTGCACAGTGCCGGTCGGCGTGTGGTGTTTTGGTTCGTCGGCCTGAGAGACGGTTCGAACACCATGGAGAAAGGGTTCGAAGAGATGGAGAACATCAAAAGGTGGAGACGTGAGCTTTGGTCGGCTGAGTGTGTAAAACCCCAAATGACCTTTTTTTGAGGTAAGCAGATAGGCGAATTTGAGGGAATATGCAGAAGGACTGTACTTGATCAAGATGAGGGGTTCATTCAGGTGCAGGAGACAGGGTTGTTGTTTAACCCTCTTAGACCCTTCCCAAACAACCCTGCCAAGCCTTCCCGTGGACCAGCACCTTGCTTTTTTATACTCCGCACCTTGTTTTTTCTGACCCTGAGGTCTGTTTTTTTTGACACCACGAGGTGGGTAACCCTCACAACATTTTCTCCACTTACCGCCCCGTCCACCCTGTTTTTTCCAACACTCTCGGGAAAGCTTGTTTTAAACCTTCCCAACCCTTATCGTTTTAATCCAAAAACCTCCGCTGTCGGCCCTGCAATCCTGGCAGGGCGACGGCGGCCGGTCGCGCTTGATGGGTCCGACTTGGTCCCCCTAGGGATCCAAGTATATACCTCCTCAAAAGGTTCTTGGACCCTCCAAACCCACCCCAAACACCTTCTCAGAGGGTACTTGGATCCTTAGGGTCCGGTCATCAGATTGTGGTGAGGAAGATGCAGCGGCACGGCACTGCTCGGGCCAGCATACAGGCCCTTGCAAAGGCAGGCTTCACAAGGCTTCAGTGCTCTTCTGCACTCATGGGTTTGCTCTGACTGCCTTCCTTTCGCCCTACGTTTGCAGCAACAAACATAAACCACCTCCTCGTAGGTGGGATGCCCTGACATCGTGTGCCGCAGCGGCGTGTCCACTCTGCAGACCATCCAGACCCAACCAAGGTGATCAGCTGCGCAGCTGCCGTAGCACTCTCACCGTGCAGTAAAGAACACCCTACAACTCACCGTGCCCAACACTGCTCAGCACACCCAGTGTAAGTGATGTGTTGGACACTCTAACTTTCCATGGCCTGTTTCCATAAAAGCAACTGGCCCACCCTAGTTTTGTGTCTCTACTGACAACAACCACAAACCTGCAATGTGTATGCCAGCCCTTTCCTGCCTGCCGCTGTCCAGCCCGACTTGGGAGAGAAATGGTTTCTATGAACGCCTGAGTCCTGTGGTCTGTGGCCAGTCACTGGAGATCCAACTTTGGCAGCAGAGGCAATGCTGAGGGAGGCGTCCAGCAACGGAGACGCCGTGTGTTCAAGACTGCAGCGCGCGTTGTCAGCAAAATCCCCAAAGCCAAGTCCAAGAAGGGTGCTGATGGTAAGCATGCTAAGAAAGGAGCGCAGAAAACCATGCAGAAGAAGAATGCAACGCTCCACGCTCAGCTCACTGAATCACGAACTCAAGTGCTGGAATTTGTGGCAATTTCCACCAGGTCAGAGAAAGGCAACCGAATGATTTGCCAGTCAATGCAGGCATGCTTGGAGAAAGACAAAGTCGCCACGTGGCCGGAAGGGCTGGTGATCGGCCGTGACTGTGCGCCCTGCTCTGGGGAAGATGAAGGTGCAGAACGGGTCCAATGCATGCGGACCGACCAGAGCATCGTTTTGCCCTCACAATGCTCCTCGTTGAGGGCATACTTTTTGCATAAATATCATGCTGACACAGATCACGGCATGCGGTTCTGAACTAATAGAACCTCCAGAAAAGCGCCTCTGACAGCAGATTGGCCAAATACACCAGTCATCGAAGAGCTTCAAGCCTGCCTCCGAAACATCCTAGATAGTGTTTCGGAGCTGCAAATGCAAGGGTGCTGGTACATATTCAGTGTTTGTTTTCGATCCAAGATTAAACTGCTGGTTTTTCAACATGACCAAGCTTGATCTCCTGGTTTGAAGTCACAAACAAGCCTGGAACAAGTCACTGGATGGGGCTCCAAAAAGATCACATACTTGCACTTTTTAAAACGCATGGAACATCAGTTTGTTTCGAGTCTCGATCACCTAGCTAGGGCTTTACAGTCGCAGGACCTTTCAACGTCCACCCCGTTCTCCTCAGGGAGCCGGTCCAGCTCCGGTAGACGCTGAGAAGCTTCCACTTCGGGTGCCACTTCCGCTCAGCGGGGGGGGGGTTGGGGCACATGGGAGAGCTGGAGTGAATCTAGAACCAGTCCTGTAGACGGTGATATTGAAGATGGTCGCCATCCCTGACGCCAAATCGGACCCTCCATTCAGATCCGAGGCTGGGCTCGAAAAGACCTGGATCTTCCAACTGTGCAATAGGTTAGCCTTTTCATCAATTTGCATAGTTGGAAGATCCTGGTATGGAAGGGTTTAAGGATGCTTGGGGGTCTCAAATCCCTAGGCCGGCCCTTCTAGGCTTTCAGGGACCACAAGGCATGTTTAGAGGGAGGAGCGGTGAAGTGGATAGAAAACATGGCGACAGCCGCGCGGTCTTCCAGGGGTTCCATAAAGAGGCCTAGTGCTGCCACCCCATGGCTGCCTGGTGCTGGTAGGTTTGAAGGTTGGTCTTCTGGATACAAGTAGAAGAGCAAGATGAGAAAGTGTAACACAGGGGAAGATGAACAGATCAAATGCAGAAGATCGCAGATGCATTGAAGATGAAACAACATGATGCAAGTGTTTCTCTTTGTCTCGGGTTCTTTGGGCTTAAACCCGGCACTGCTTCCCATCTTGGGATGCAAAAGAACGCGCGATTCTTTGCTTCCAACGAACAGAGAAATCGATCTCAGCAGAGGCCCCAGATGCCACGATGTCACGGGGCAGTGCCCAGCCGTAGAAGATTACTGAATGTTCCCCTTCCAAGAGCTTAACTGGGGGCCGGTCCAGTGGAACCTGGAAAAAGTGTGATGCAGATTGGCACGAAGCGGATGATACCGGATGACTGGACTGGCAAAAAAGGACCTCCATGTTGACCGTTGGATGGTTTGAGGGGCAACTTGACCAGTGTTTGAGTGTTACCGAGCTGGTTGAGGGCTAGCTGGAGTCTCATTTTCTAGAGCACTTTGGAGGGTACAGGTACTTTTGTTGATGTGGTGCATGTCAGGTGTCCTTGAACCTCCAGAGACAACTGCAGCGACAGGCGTGTGACTTGTGTCGTGACTTGGTGCTTGGGAGAGGTCCAAAGACCCAGAGAGTTGAAGAGGTCCAACGACCCAGACTGGGATATCAACCCATTTATCTGGGTTCCAAGTACCTTCTCAGGTACGGTGAGCAGGGAGACACTGGAGACTGGAGCAATGTAGGTGCCAGTCAACGTCGGGGTTTGTCCCTAGGGTGAGATGGGTGGTGTCACAGTCCTTTTTCCGGGTCAATGCCCTCGCATAATCTCTTCAGGACCCGGGTCAATCTTTTTGGTTGGTGGTGCACGTCAATGTATTATAGTATAATCATGTATACCAGCAGAGGTTGAAGGACTCGAACTAGACTATCCCCTAGATACCCCAGGTGACGGGTCCTATGGTCCCGGTCACTGGCTACCTCTCTTGGTATATTTAGCGCCGGACTCTGGAGTCGGACCATCGTACCTCGGAAGCACGTCGCATCCCTGCCCTCCTGGTCATCCCAGACGCAGTCCATCTAGACCTCCTCACCAATGCGGGACCGGGGCCGTACCCGAAATCCGAACTGGTCAGGGGTGTGAAGGGACCTCCATGGACCTCCTCACCAATCCCGGTTTGGTTCGACCTCTCACGGAGCGGAGCGAACAGCGGAGCGAACGGGATGTCTCGTGGTATCTCCGTACGAACTGGTGGTTTTCACGGTCTGTTCCGGTCATCCACCCGAGGATTCGTGTCCCACTTCGTGTCCCATCCAGAGGATGTCTGAGGTCATCCTCGCCCTAGAGCTCCTGGCGTACCTCCTCAGAAGGTATGACTGGACCCTCCTGGCACCCACCCCAGTCCCACCTTCGAAACGAAGGTACAACTGGAGCCCAAACGGGTTTGTGTTTGAGGTCATCCCCTAAGGATCCAGTCGTACCTTCGGTACGATGAGCACGGTGAGGGAGACACTGTTGTGAGACGGTGCCTTTTGGATCTGGCGGTCCTTAGGTGTAGGACCGCCAGGTCATCGTTCGACCTGTTAGGTTGCCAACCGGAGAACGTGAGGGTAGGAGGACGTGACGGAGGGTGCATGCCTGGATGCTTTCCCATCCTCTCAGCCACTTCCCATGTAGATCTTGCCACATCGGAACAACCAGAACTGTTTTTTTCCCGTTTGGGACGGGGTTTCCAGACCGGGTGGATCCTGTGGTCCCAAAGCACCAGCTGAAAAAACCATCCGTCCAAACGTTTGGCGCAGTTCGCTTCGGTTCAGCGAGCTCGAGCTCGAGCTCGCTGAACCGCACGGGACAAGGGGATGACTCCGGGATGACCCTTCTGTGTCGTTCAGGCTCAGGAAGAGTAATTAGGAGGGAGAATGGAGCAAGTTTGGTGAATCCTGTTGAACACTGGGTATGTGAGTTGTTGGGTTTCACAACGAATGTCCTGATGACCATCATGTAATCATGTACAACAATTATCGCCATACAGGTGCAAAGACCAAGTGATTTTTGTACGATCGACTCCAGTGACATCAGCTAGTTGACCTGTAGGGTACAATTGTTCACAGTTTAAAAGCCTTCGATGGTTCGTTGGAGTCGCGGTTCGCTTTTCCTCCAAGTACAGATCTTACAGTAAAACCCTTTTGGTCTTCATGTTCACCCTGACTGAGGTTTCTGCCCCTTAGGAGATTTGCCCCGGTGCCACGGTGCCGAACCCGATCCGGTGACCGTCACCGACATGGCGACCTCGGCGCCTTCCGGTGGCGTTCGATGCTTCGATGTCCGCCGCGAAACAGGGGATTTCGACTGAAGACAAAGAACATGTGACGAACAACATGTGGCCCTGCCATCTCCAGGCGGCCGAGGGGGCCTTGGCCTACAGCAGGGGATCTCGATGGGTCTGGTGGGATTGGTGGGGAGAGCATAGGCCCTTAATGGCCCTTATAAGGCCCTCCAATGTCCTCCATCATCTACCAAAACCACCCGTTCGCGGTCCCCAATAGAACTACCCTACACGTGCGCTACGTCCCCACTTTCCTTGCAGGTCCACCAGGTAGCGTTGCTTATTTTGCTTGGAGTCACCGCGTTGTAGGCTTCCAGTCCGCTCACCAACTAGGAGCACTTCTCAACCACTCCAGTCGGTTCACCAACTAGGAGCACTTCTCAACCACTCGACTAGGTCCCAGGAGCTTTTGCCTTCCGTTGGACCAGTCTTCAAATAGTGGACTTGGTTTGGGTCTAAAGATGTCTAAAGTCCTTAGTAGAACAAAGGTTGTTCAGGATTCAGACTATAAAAAATACATTGTTTAAAATAAAACAATGATTGGGATAGTTGAAGCTTCGGTTCAAAGCATTTGGAAGTGTGTCAGATGCTGTCATGTTGCCCTCTTGCAAGACCTGGCTGATGCAAAAATGAACACACGGTAAGAATATCAGGAGGCGTTGTAAAAGAAGCCTCAAGAAGCATCAAGGTGACCTAGGGTTTGCTTGCGACTTCAATCCAGGAGATCAAGTTCGGTCAATTGGAAGATCCAGGTATTATACAGTATAGACTAACATAGTGTTACCGTTTTTTTTTGTTCACAGTTGTGTTGTCTTTTTTTCAATTATATAGAAGATCCAGGTCATATAGACTAACATTGTTACAGTTGTGTTGTGTTTCACAGTTTTGATGTTTGTAGATATAAGGAATTGCCTCCGCTTTGCAATCCAACATCTTTCATCTCCAACAAAGGGAGCTGTGTCGCTGCATGGGCAAAAACGTCGTGGGGTCGCTGCGGTGTCCGTTCTGCAAACATGATGAGCCTTGACAAACTGGTTCGTTCCCGGTAGTCTCAGTTCGTACCTCTAAAAATGGGTACACATACCATTTTGGTGTAGGGTCATGTTCATTTTCTAGGTACTTGAAGTCGTTTCCAGGTGCTGCACGTCCAGGATCCAGGATGATGCCGGTTTTGTGTTGTTGAGTGGATTTGGGTGTTCCCGAACTGGGTGAATCCCCGTTTCTTCCTTTCTGGACAGCAAAGACAAGTGATATATACACATGGCAATGGACCCCACTTGGAGTTTAGATGTGTGTGATTTAGCTTTGTCATCACTCCCTTCACACTGCGAATGTTTTTGAAAGCCGATGGACTCAGCATAGTGTGCGTCCAGTGCACCCTATGTAAATGATTTTCCATGGAGACCCAACCTTGAACTATCCAGTCGTCAACAGACTCTTCTACATGCAGTCGGACAATCACATGTCGTGGCATGTTCACCAGGCGCCACAGCGCTGCAGACGGCTCAGAAGCAGAAGCTTGGCTGAGACGAGTGACTAGCCGCTAGCCCATGTCTATACATCCGCAGGTTTAGTGAATCAGAGATCCCATGTTGTTTAATTTGCTGAGCCAAGCGGGGCTGGTGAGCCAATGTTTCGCTGGTCTGAGCTTTTCAGATGTATTCAGATATCACATATACCAGCACCCGACTCTACAGGTCTCCGAAATGGAGGTTTGTTAGGCTCTAAAAGGTTTCAATTGGTGACCTGTTGGAGGGTGCTGGTATAGACTTCTTGATCGTAGAAAGTCGAAAGGTCAGAAAACGCGTTTCCAGTTCCGCACACAACAGCGGGATTTCGGGT